AATCTCTGCCAGAGCCATAGCTTGTATGTTTCGTTCAATACACTCATGTTAAATCCTCAAGCAGTTTCTCACAAATTGTATCAAAATGTAAACAGATTTTGTAAAGAAAGATTTCCCAAGGATGACCTGAAAGTAGCTTCAGTTTTTCTGACAATTAAAATGGATATCTGTTAAGTTCTTACATGATATCTTTTTCTATATATTTTCATACACATATGCACAGAGACCCTTTGTGTATATATCAATTGTAATATATAACCCGATAGATGTCCAGTGTGTGCTATGTTTTATTGAAATGTGAAAATAAACTTTTATTCTGATTTTCCCTTCTTCAAGTTTGGCATTGGCCAACAACTTCAGCAGCTTATATTAAATAATTCTTCATGAAACAGTAACGTCATGCCCCCCAAAGGACGGTTTATGACTAGTTACAATACTTTGAGAAATTCAGCAAACCATCTATCCCCACCAAACCCCTACTCTCCATCTCTTGGGCTTAGTTCTAGCTGCTACAAGAAAGTCAGCCCAATTTGACCTTCATGCTTGTCTGCCTGCAGCAATACAAGGTCCAGTCCTAATGTCCACTGCCAGCAGTGGTTTTAGAAGCCCACGGACAGTGCCATTTTATTGAAAACCTCAAGAAGCTTGCACCAAAGGACTCTTCACAAAGGAAAAAAAAAACAACAAACAAACAAACAAACAAAAAAAAAAACCTGTGGAAAAAAGGAGGGAAAGGAGCACAAAAAGAGGTGCAGGGAGACTGAGGAAGCCCTCAGCCCCTCCATAAGCAGGAAGAGTGGCAGAGGCTCTGATGCAGTGTTGGCAGAGCCTGAAGGCGATGGCATCCATTCCCCATACATTTAAAGCCTGTTTCCAGGGCCCATAGCTCCCAGGAGCATTGCAAACAGGGCGCTGCATGTCAGAAGAGCATGGAGCAGTAGTTGGCGCAGGCAGGGTGAGCAGGGAGGGCAGATTGTCCCCCCCACTCAGGAGGCCAGCTCACCTACCAGCTGCCTCCCAGATAACAAGTCTAGCCATGATCCTTGTAAGTAGAAAGCCCTTGCCAAAAAGAATGTGGCTATCCAGTCTGAGTGTCTGCCCTCTCAGCCCAGAAAGCCAACTGCATCCTGGGCTGCATCAAAAGAAGCATGGCCAGCAGATCAAGGCAGGTAACACTGCTCTTCTGCTTTACACTGGTGAGGCCTCACTAGGAGTACTGTGTCCAAATGTGGAGTCTTCAGTACAGAAGAGATATGGACTTGTTGGAACACATCAAGAGGAGGAACACAAAAATGATCCGAGGGATGGAGCACCTCTCCTTTGAGGACAGGCTGAGAGAGCTGGGGCTGTTCATCCTGGAGAAGGGAAGGCTCCAGCAAAATCTGAGAGCGGCCCTGCGTTATCTAAAGGGGGGCTGTGCAAAAGAAACAGACTCCTTAGCAGGGTCTGTTGTGATAGGACAGGGGGAACTATTTTCATAGTGAAAGAGGAAATATTTAGATTAAATATAAGCAAGAAGATTTTTATAGTAGGAAATACAGTCCTCGTTAGCCACCCCCTCTCTCCAGCAGGGACAGGGAGGTGATTGTCCCTCTCTACTCGGCTCTTGTGAGGCCCCATCTGGAGTACTGTGTCCAGGTGTGGAGCCCTCAGTACAAGAAAGACATTGAGATTTTGGAAAGGGTCCAGAGGAGGGCAACTAAGATGATCAGGGGGCTGGAGCACCTCCCCTATGAGGACAGGCTGAGGGAGTTGGGCTTGTTCAGCCTGGAGAAGAGAAGGCTGCGGGGTGACCTCATTGCAGCCTATCAATACCTGAAGGGAACCTACACCCAGGAGGGGAGTAAACTGTTCAGAAGGGCTGATAACAGCAGGACTAGGGGAAATGGTTTTAAGTTGAAGGAGGGAAGATTTAGGTTGGATGTTAGGGGGAAGTTCTTTACTAGGAGAGTGGTTAGGCCCTGGAACAGGCTGCCCAGGGAGGTTGTGGATGCCCCGTCCTTGGACGTGTTTAAGACCAGGTTGGACGGGGTCCTGGGCAACCTGATCTGAATGTGTATGTTTGGTGGCCCTGCTAGGCAGGGGGGTTGGAACTACATGATCCTTGGGGTCCCTTCCAACCCGGGTGATTCTGTGATTCTGTGATTCTGTGATTCTGTGTGATTCTATAGTAGGGGTAGTCAGACCCTGGAACAGGTTGTCCAGAGTGGTGGTGCATGTTGCAACCCTGGAAGCATTCAAGGTCAGGCTGAATAGGGCTTTGAATGAGCTGATCTAGCTGTAGGTGTCCCTGTTCATTGCAGGGGAGTTGGGCGAAAGGTCCCTTCCAACTCAAACAATACTATGATTCTGTGACTGTGTTGTGAATGTATTTTATCACTTAGAAATTTTGATTGATATTTCTATATAACCATGCTATATCACATTTTCCAGTAAGTCTTCTCTGTGTCCATATTAACATGATCTTCTAGTTACAATTCTTTAAAACATACAGCATCTTTTCTTTTTCATTTTCCTACTTTGTCCTTTCCAGTGTAGAATATTATGACAGGACAAGGGGGAATGGCTTTAAGCTCAAGGACAGAAGGTTCAGATGAGATGTCAGAGGGAAGTTCTTTACTAAGAAAGTGGTGAGGTGCTGGAACAGGCTTCCCAGAGAGGTTGTGGATGCTCCGTCCCTGGAGGTATTCAGGGTAAGGTTGGATGGGGCCCTGGGCAACCTGGTCTAGTATCTGGAAGCTGGTGTCTCTGCCCGTGACAAGGGGGTTAGAACTTAATGATCCTTCGGTTCCCTTCCAACTCAAACCATTCTATGATTCTGTAATTCTGTGTACTGGAAATTGTTGGATTAATTTCATTGCGTGTTCCCAAACTCTCAGTATTATTATTTTGTGAGAAGTTCGATATTTTCACTGACTTATTTTATGTGAAAGAAAACGGAGGATGAACTGACATAACTATTTCATGTTTTTTTTTTTCCATCTCTTTTGAGTGTCTTATTAAAATGGCAAAGTGATGCAGAGTGTGACCAACCATGGTATTTGTAATGTGGGAAAGAGAGCCTATGTTGGAACTTATCCAATGTTCCAAGACTTGTATACGCGTAAAATTTTTCTATTTTCTATTTAAATCTGTCTTCAAAAAGATAATGACAAGGTATATTTTTTGGTAACTTAGATGCTGTTAGTATTACATGTATACCTGAATTCATCTCCCATCACTGCATAGCTGAGAAATCTACATTACAAGTCTTTATCTCTGGTTTATGAGGATACATATGGTTTCACTTCACTGTTTTCTAAAATATTTTGGGCAATTAAGATCCTAATGTAGGCACTTATTTAAGTCAGTAGAATTTCAAAGGATGGCTTTAAATTTTATTTGCCTCTGTCACAGATCTTCCCTCTAAAGCCATCTCACTAAGGCTTTCTATATTTTTCTTCTGAAAATTTCCTGTTCCATCTGTGAACCTGAATGAGATGAGCCTTGTCTATGTTGCTTATCACTAATGTGACCTCAGCCTTGCTCTTTACTTCTTAAGGATCAAACAAATTATGTTCGATCCCAAACCATAATAACTTGAGAAGCAAGTCCTTTGCTGTGACCAAGCTGCAAGTTTGAGAGGCATTCCTCTTCATGTTGGATTTCTGAAGTCAATTTCTCCTTTCATTGTGCAAGACATAAATGATGTTCAGCACTACAAGGCTAGACAGAAAAGCTATGTGCTTCCACCTTGAAGACCTTCATTCTTTTTCTCTTGAAATTAGCTCTTCACAAACCAGTGCTGATTACTAGATATTACAAAGTGCTGAGTGAGCCAACCAGTACAGTTTTGAAAAATCAAGATCATAATACGACAGTACCTCATATTGTACTTTCTTCATGAAATCTAACAGAAGAGCAGTTTCTATGCTGAAAATACTTTACATGAGACTTACATGGAAGCAGAAGGTCTAGCTCCTGTCAGGTGAAGAGGAAGCATCTTCTCTTTGTAAAGTATAATCTGTCCAGTTATGCACACTTTAAGCTGTTTGGATCTCAGGGTTTTTAATTAGGAAAACAAATTGTATTCAGGCTTGGGAGATTATAGCAACGCATATGTTCTTTGTGAGTGTAAAACCAAGGAATGGTGTCATCTCTGCCAGCCTTTAGGTTTTATAAACATGAAGAAAGAGAGCTGTTATTTCAGATCAAACCTGTCTATTATGAATTTCAAAGCAGAGTTTCTAGCATAAATATGCTGGAAGCTTGACTGAAGAAAATTTAAACTTAACACTTCAATGTGCGTTCTTACATAGGCTTGAATTCACCTCTACTTTTTGACTGTTGAATTTGAGAGATATAACATATCACTCTTAAGAAGCATATTTTTTTGTAGTCAAATCAATTTGCATTAAATTGGTACTTTAAAAAACCCTCAACTGCTATGCAGGGCTATTAAACAAACAAACAAACAAACAAACAAAATTAAAATAAACCTAGAAAAACACATCCTAGCAGCTTTATAAATACTGCAAATATCATAGGAATATGAGCTTTTTCAGAAAGTCAGTCTGCAGGTATTCTGTAAATAACACTACCTGAAAATAATTTCCCTAAAAATATGCTGCCTTTAATTTGGGCAGAAGAATTCAGTAAAGTTTTGTCATTTGCGTTGACAAATTTTCTCTTTTACTAATGATGAACATTCTCCAACCTTGTACCAATTCTGGTATTTTCACATATGTAGAATCTGACGCTTAGCCTAATTTGGTAATTCAGATCACAGGAAACTTACTAAGTGAAAGAGACAGGGAGCCAGACAAGTTACAGTGCTGCAGTCTTGTCTGTCATAATTATTCCCTCTTTCTGGTACCTGACAGTAAGGAAAGGTACTACTAGAGGATTGGGTCTTGTTGCACTGAGAAGAACAAAGTTTTTCTTCTGGCTGCCAGATGACTCATTGTGACTTTCCTTTCTTTGTTGTTTGTTTGTTTGTTTTGTTTTATTTTGTTTTTCAGCTTTCATTTGCAGCAACAACCCCAGAGTTGGCTGACAAGAAAAAATATCCTTATTTCTTCCGGACAGTGCCATCTGATAATGCAGTGAATCCAGCAATTTTGAAGTTGCTCAAGTATTACCAATGGAAGAGAGTAGGAACTTTAACCCAGGATGTACAAAGGTTCTCTGAGGTAAGCTTTACATAATTTTTTTCCAAATAGCTAATTCCTCCATTAGTAGCAACTAAGTAAAAAGAAACAGACGTTCTATTTCAGCTTCGTTGTACTAGGTGGTATCTGCCATACTGAGTAAACTTTTTTCCATTCTGGGGCTTATGTCACTAGCAATAATTAAAATCTATCCATTATTTCTTTTGTTTTCTTTACACCCAAATCGTTGCACTCAAGTGCAAAAAAGAAAAGTCGCAATTGTTTTCTAGCAAAGGATCCTTTTATACTCTTTGACTTGCCAAAGTGTATGGTTTTGAAGGAAGCTTGTATCTTGGTTCAGCTAAAAGAGAGAATAAATCTAATTTCGTCTTGTTCCTCTCTTGCTCTGATTTATTTTAAGCATCAGTCTGAACACCGAGGGAGAAAATCTGCTAAGTGTATGGCTGAAAGTGCTGTAGGAGCTTACTGAGACAAAAATGACTGCAGCCTCTGGAGTTGATATGATCAAGTATTATGCACCCCCAAATCAGAGTTTCACCCTGAGCAACATTTTGCTCATAGAAATTGAAAGAAACTATGGGGCAAGGGCCTTAAGCATGGCAGTAACAATAAAGTAGTTAAAAGAAAACATCTTATAAGTAATTAATTAGAGCAAGGCAAGGGAGTGAGTTGGCCAATTAATTGAGAGGCAAAACTAATAGGTGTCAGTTTCATCGCTGGTGTTTTTTTTTTCCTTTTTCATCATTCATTAAAAAAGGCTGACTGTGATCTGAGCACTAATATAATTAAAACTAGTAAAGATGGATAGGAACAGGTTAGAGTCTGCTTAGGTGAGTCAGATATTTTCAAATTCTGTCACAATTAATTCACTCTGAAGTGCTTAAGAAATCTTAGATTCTTCCCTTACGAGCTCTGAGAATTCAATAATAATAAGCATGGGGAGGGAAGAGACCTTTTTGTCTGTCTTACCAAAATGCACATAAAGATAAAGGGAATTATAGACCAGTCAGCCTAAAATAAATTCCTGGAAAGATATTTGAACAGATAATCAACTGAGAATTTCACAGAAGATGAAAAGATGCTAAACAATGGCCAAAATGAATTTATCAAGAATAAATCATGTAAAGCAAACTAATTTCATTCGAAGACACAATAACAGGTCTCAAGGAGATAGAGTAAGTGATAAATGTGATACTCTATGACTGTTTCTAAAGAAAACTGGGGAAACTTGATCATGAGAAAGATACTATTTCTGACCAATATTCCTGCCACCAAGGTTAATTGTCATCAGATCAGTTGAATGTTTTGAAAATGAGTGCTGAGGTAAAAGGCAGACAAAGATTGTGTATGCTTTATTCTCCTGTCTCAAAATTATAATTTCAAAGAGCCACTATCAGTGGCTCACTGTCAAACAAGAAGGATGGGATTCTGTCAAGTGGTTTTCTAGACAGTGGGAGAGATAAAATGTTTACTGAGTGATCAATTGGTACCCATCTGAGAAGAGCTGGAAGCACTTTTGCAGAGGCAGAATTGGGATTTGGAGTAATCTTGACATGTAGAAAAAGATTTTAAAATGAATAGTATGTAAATGAAAAAGTATAAAATACTAGACTACACTAATTCTACAAGGGCCTACAGGAAAGCTGGAAGGGACTTCTCACAAGGACATGTAGCAACAGGACGAGGGGAAATGGCTTCAAACTGGAAGACGGTAGATTTATACTAGATATTAGGAAGAAATTCTTCACTGTGAGGGTGGTGAGACACTGGAACAGGTTGCCCAGCAAGTTTGTGAAAACCCCCTTCCTGGAAGCATTGAAGGCCAGGCTGGATGGGGCTTTGAGCAACCTGGTCTAGAGGGAGGTGTCCCTGCCTATAGCAGGGGGTTGGAACTAGGTGATCTTAAAGATGATTCAACCCAGATCATTCTGTGATTCTATGATCTGTATATCTGATACAGGTAGAGTGACTTGGATCTCCCTTTCTTGGCATTGCTCAAATCCTTTTGATTATGATTTTTGAAGTGGCCTGAAAGCTATGATTTTCAGCAGTGCAACCCACTATTGGTATCCTCTACAAATTCTTTGCATATGTTTGTACAATTAAAACTGTCCCTTCCATTGGATTAATTCAGCAGTTACATAAGTCCTCCTGGTATAATGGTATATACAAACTTCATCAGTTCTGTTTATTAAGTAGGGCAAGTTCATATCTGTTGTACTTCTCTGACCTAGATTTATTGGACTGCTGCCCTATTCTCTTCCTCTGGGAGAAGAGTCTGTTTCAAAAGTTAATGGTTCTATGGTGAAGGTTTATAAACGAGATTCTAAAATGTTTTGGGTTTTTTTTCTGGAATTTCAGTTTTAAGTATTTGCTATGGCATAAAATCATAGGATAATTTAGGTTGGAAGAGACCTTAGGAGATTGTCTGTTCCAACCTGCTGCTCAAAGAAAGGCTAGCTTTGATATTTATGATCCCTGAAGAATTATGGGTGTTGCATACAGTTTTCAGAAATGTCCTGACTACATTCAGTTTCTAGCTCCCAGGTGAGCTTTCAGCTGACTGGAGGTTCTGCAGGAACTGATGCCTCTAGTTCTGCCACTCTCTAGTGCTAACTGCTTGGGATTGTATTTTGAATACAATCCAAGTGATGTTCTTGTGGTTTGTGTTTTCTGTATTTCATGGTTTGGGGTGAAAAGTCATGAGAAGTCATGAGAAGGAAGTCACGCTTAGCTATCAATGACTGAAAACTTTTGGGAGCTGCCATTGTTGCAGATGTAAAGGTTTCAGAACATGACTATGAAACAGAAAGGTGTAATTATTTTAGGATTTTCAAGTAATGCTGTATTTGCTAATCACTAATTCTAATTTGCCTTTGTATTCTACTGTTCCTTCCTACATATTGCTCATTTTGCTTGTGTATGTTCAAAGTATGTCTCAAACTGAAAACTATTACTTAACTGCACCTGCACACTAAGGAGGATTCAGACTTCAGTGTTTTATAATGGGACACCTCTACTCTGTCTTCTGTTGTTTCTGTTTACTCTTCTATCATGTTAAAATTCGATTAACTTGCATTTAGCTTTCCACTTGGTATTATATTCATGATATTTCCTTTTTTTTTAAATATATATTGAGAATATTGAATAGGAATGTTTTTAAAACAATTTAAATTCTGTTCATCTTAAGTGACTCTTTATTTTTCTGTACTTCTTAATAGTCATCTCTTTATGTGATTTCTCTGCTTTTTCCTGGAAATGCTGAGAACTCCTAATGTAATTTTATCAGTGTAGGTGGCATTTCAAAAAGACAGAAAAAATGAAAAGCGTTCTGTAAGTTAATGAAACAGATTAAAATATATTTAAAAAATGGAAGATAAAATATTGCTGCGTGATTCTATCACCATCTTCACTGACTTTACGGATCTAAAAATATTAAAAAAACTAAAACCAAATTCCCCTTGTAAGTGGACAAAAGGCTACTTTTTTTGCTGATATGACTAATATTCCTGAGATTTCTTCTTGTTCTGTATTTTTTATAGTGACATCTTCTTTAAAAATCTGTGGTCCATCAGAATCCATTTTACCTAAATTGAAATCATATAGCACTTATTAATAAAAAATAACCCAGAAATATAATACTAGGAAAAAGAAAACTGTTATAAGGAAAAGCTGCTAGTAAACAGCAAGCCTTATCCAAGTAGTATGTGTCTATTTCTGTAGAGAAAGCAGGACAGAAATCTAGAATTTTACCCGGAAGTTAATCTAGAAATTTGTTGTAGACTTGCTATCTCAGTATGGAGCCTGCAAATTAGGATCTGAATTAGTAGTTGCTTTCGATAAGAAGTTGGATAAGTAGATGAGGTAGTTACAGAGAAGCAGAGAAGGATTAGGCAGAGGAAAGAAATTAGGTATCTGTTGACCTTTCAAACTTTAGCCGAAAAGCAACCCTGAGGACCAGTGTTTGGTGATTATAGTTACAAACTGTGGAGACTTCAAGGTGTGACTGCTGTTTGACTACTCAGGCTTCTGAAGAAAGAGCAGAGACTTCCAGCTTCTATCACATTTTCAAGAGGAGTTAGAGCAGAAAGAAATTATTATTTTTTCTCCAGGAAGAGCTTGAAAGCATAAAATTTACCAGATACTAGGAATGTTGAAGCTGGAAGCTCCTAACAATGTCTAGTAATTTCATCCTTGGAGGAGCCCTGTACCCACAAAGAGTGCAGTAATGTAGAAACACAGATACAAGAGATGTGAGACAGAAGACAGTCAAGTGTATGGGAAAAGGCATAGAGAGAAGAAAGTGAAAGCAGGCAAACAGATGTTATAAATGTTATTTATATAAATGTTATTATATATAAATTTTATTGTTTAACTGCTGAACTTTTTCATACCATCTCTTTGTAATACCTGTTTGTTTGTTATTTTCACCAAACTTGGTTGCATACCTTGAAAGTTATGAAATATTATGTGAAAGTGCAAGTGAAACAGAATCTGTATTTAATCTGCCTTAATGCATTTTTGTTTGTTTGTTCATTTTTTTCCTTTGCAAAATCTTACAAGTTCCTGTTCTCAAAAGCCCAAATCTTCTCCCCAAAATAGTTCCAGAGAGTTTAATAAAAAGAAAATATGGAGATAATCCTCTTAGTAGAGGCACAAATGTGTCTGAGAATGTCCATCATATCACTCAATTTCAGATTCTTGCCTGGTTGCTAGGATAAAATCTTAGGGACAGCTTATTTCAAATTTTCCCGAGCTTGTGAAGAAGAATATCTTTCCCTTTTCTATCTGGTAATTATGATTTTCTATAATTTGATACCTTAAAATCTCCATAGGCAGCCTATAAAAGTTGTTTCTTCCAGTATTGCAGATACTCTCCATATATATGAGAAATTAAATATTTGCTTGTTTGTTTCTAAGTGGTAGAAGTCATTGCAGGAATTTAAAATGACAAAGAAATGTAAAGAGACCTAGACATTCATTGTAATAAATAACTTTAGAATCTGTAAAGACATTTAGAC